GTGTATAAGAGACAGCCCCGGGATGGCGGCGGGTCCCGAGCGCTCGGGATTTTGTGAAGGGAAACTCGTGTGGGAGTTGGTGCCTGATGTGTTGGGTTTTGGGCTTTTTTTTTTTATGGGGAAGAAAGTGCCACCGGAGCGTTTGCTGCCTGGCAGATTTTTGCCATGCGGCCGCATCCACACACCCCTGGTTTAGATTATTACATGTACCCCCAAATCTGGTCTTTTTTGATGATTTTTACTCTGTGGAGTCCAGGTGCCACTCCCGGTGGGATCTTCCGCCCCTCCCACCGTCACCAAGGGTGACATTTTGGCAGTCGAGCCTAGCTGGGCCTGACCTTCAGGATTGTTTTGTCCCACAGAGACGCTGCCCCAGGGCCTGCAGAGCTGCTCCTGCCCTCACCCACGCTCTCGCCCCATCACCCGACCTTGCTGCCGGCTGTCACGCAACAAAACGCCAACAGAAAATAACCAAAACCAGCACAAAAACCTGCCGCAGCGCCTCAGCTCTCAACCCTCCAGGCATGCACAGTCCTACCCCACTGAAACCGCGATGAGGACGGTGACTTTACCTCCTGCGGGTTCCCCATCCCCATCAGGAAAAGCTTTTTTGTTTGAGCCCTGGCTAACAAATAGATGGTCCTGGCCAGTGTACTGATGACACCCAGCTAGCCTTGAACGACTGGTACAAGCCACTGATGGCTCCAGGGTGGCTTGGGACTGAGCTGCGAGGCTGCAGGTCACCACAGTCAACAGCGAGGCTGTTACTCCCCCCGTGGAGGGCACCAGGGGCAATTCTGCTCCGCACAAAGCAGGCAGGGCCTCTGCTCAGCGGGCGGCTTCGCCCCCTTCCTGCCCAGCAGTGGCTTTTTGCCCACCCTCGCACCGAGCAGCTGCACTGGGAAGAGCCATCGGCGTCCGTCCCAGCGCCTCTTGCGGCCCAGGGCAGGCACAGAGTGAGAGAGAATTGTGGTTTGGGTGGGAAGGGACCTCAAAGACCATCTAGTTCCACCCTCCTGCCACGGGCAGGGACACTTTCCGCTAGCCCAGGTTGCCCCAAGCCCCGTCCAGCCTGGCCTTGAGCCCCTGGGGGGTGTTCGCTCCTGAGGGCGCTGAGCACCCCGCCGCAAGAGCCGTGCGGGTGGCCGGTCGGGGTCAGAGCCGGTGGAGTAAAGCCCCCAGGATCAACGAAGCGATACAGCCACTTGGGGTTTGAAGCGGTCAGTGTTTGTACAAGACCCCCGGAAGGGGGGATATCCCTCCCTCCCTGAGGGCCATGCTTCCCCATGCACCTGCGACAGCCCTCCCTCCAAGTCAGGTTTTATTGTGCTGCGCTAGACTGAGCGTTGCCATCGGAAACTCGTTCATTCCCCGGGGCTGTAGCAGCGCCGCAACCTACGGACACGCCGTCTTCCCAGAGCTGGCAGAGGCGGAGAGGTGAGCCCAGGTCAGAGGGATGCTTCAGAGGAGAGGAGGATAAAGTGGCCAAATCTAAGGAATGTTAACAGTGCTGGGTGTTTGAGATCTTCAGTGGCGACTTGGTTTTAGACCCTGGCAGAGGCCACCTTAACAGAGACAATAAAAGAGGTTTCAATTAAGGGAGGAGGGTTGGCTCGGCCTGCTAGAAGGAAGAGTAGGCCAAGGAGGGTGTAACCCTGCAGCGACGTATTCCTCCGTGTGCTACGGCCGTGCTGCCCAAGCGATGGTGGCTCCTCCGGCCGCCCTCCCAGCCCCATTCCAGACTCGCCCCCTGCACGCAGCAGCCGCCTCTTCCCACCCCTGTCCCTCGCCAGCAGCTCGGTGCTGCCAACCGTGGCCGTTAGTCAAGCGATCCCGGTGAAACTACTATGTGGTGTTGAAACTTTGAAGTGACACCATGGCAACACAGCACACACAGCCCCCTCCTGACCAAACGCGCAGCTTCAAGGGACAGCGGCCGGCAAGGGAACGGGGCAAAGTGGCGCTCAGACGCAGCGCAGAGCCCTGAGCACCCAGCCAGCAGGAAATCTTGTGAGAATCCCCAAAGCCACCAGGCCTTGTGCCAGGAGAGGCCTCCTATAGCCCCCCATTGCAAATGGCTTCTGCAAGGGCCAGTCAGATTGTGGACAGCAGGAACTAAACGTTTTTGGAAGCTGAAGTCAGTTAGGAAGCTGCCTGTAGTACAAACACAAGGAGCGCTGCCTACTTTTTCAGGTGGGTAGGAAAAGTGGCAAGGCGGGGCCTTTCGCAGGGACGCAGGCGAGATGGCAGGAAGAACACAGCGTCCTTCCGCGCCTGTCTCCACTCCCACTTCAGGAGGGCTCGAGGAACGCAGCTGCCATTGAACACTGAACATTTCTGGCCAGCACGGGACTAGGTGGCACAAGGGTCCCGCTGAATCCTTCACCCTGCTGGAACCAGCCAGCACCTCACTGCCGCGGGCGGCTCCGCAGCACCAGCCCGGCTGCGGCAGCTTCAACACAGACTCATCTTCTCATCCCAGCTGCGCTTCCTGCCCTAAGCTGGCTCCTGCGCCTGCTCTTTGGGAGTCAGGCCAGCTACACCCAGAAGTGGGCCATTTCCAAGGGCCTGAAGCAATGCTACCGGAGTCCCCAGTGTATCAGAGGTGTCCCTAACCTTCAGGTGTCCCTGAAGAGGATTTCACAGGCACCCAGAGGGCTTTAGGATTCTCTCTTCAGCTTGAAGAATAGAAGCAAAGACACTCTGAGTCAGAGCCGTTATAAAACAATGCTGGAATCATTTGTGGGTGCAAGTCATCAGCTCAGAGGCAGAACGAAGAAGCTGTTTCACACTGGACTTTGCTTTTTTAATGCACTGACACTGTAACAGTCAGTAAAATCCTGTAATAGTCACAGAACAAGAGACTGCGGCTCACATGCCCAGGCACAGCAGAAGCCTCACCCTAGTCTCAAGTTTGAAGAGTCACAACCTCGAGTCGCTTGAACAACTTGAAGAGGCTTTAATTTATGTACAGTAAAAATACACACAGACCAGTCAGTGGCTTTACATTTGATTAACAGTAGTTACTACACACTTTAGTACTTGTAGGGCTGTTTGCTATTGAAGGTGTATCAGTACTTCGCATTACACAGAACAGCTGAAGGCTCCAGGGCTGCTGGTCCCGCAGCCACACACCTACTACGTAACTAATACATGTCCTGGCCCCCAGCTGCTACACTACAACATGCAGGAGCCCCAGATTTAAAAGCTAGAGAAGGACAATGCTAAGCTTTAATGACACAACCAGAGCAGGCAGATTCATTTTTGGCCAGTTGTCTTGTACCAAGTTGGGTACACACAAGTGTCAGCTGTCTCCAACTTCCACAGAGCTACCCCCAGTGGAACTATTCCTGCTCTGCCACATGTCCAAAATGAAATGTTCGCTCTTCCCAAGAAGTCTGAATCTCTTTGTTTTGTAACGCAGAAAAGCACCAAAGAGCTTTCTGCAAATATAGATACTGGGTAATAAATGGGGACGATTGCAGTGTTCTCTCACCCACCTCCGGTTTCTGCTTGAAACTACCCCCTTTCTGCTGCACTGAGTTCTGTGAGCGACGTGGCAATCCCCTTCCAGAGCCCTTGGGCTCTCTAAGGCCTGCGGTGTTCAGGAAGCGGCACACGCCGAATGCTAACCCTGCGGGACGGGCGAGAGCACGGGACTGACGGCTGCTTCAAGAGCCCAAAGCTAAGAAGTGTCCTGTCAGGCGAGGCACAGAAAGATGGGTTTCAGTGTCAGCCAAAAGTCCTAAAGCCAGTCCCAGGATGATGAACGCTATCCTGTCCCTGCAGGAGCATCTCAGTCACAGGGAAGAAAGGAAGAGGCCATCTACCCCAATACACGGGCCTGGGAACTGCAATTATTGTTCCAAAGGAAAGCACTGGGTCTGCTGGACCAGTAACAGCCTGTAACATGCCCAACAGGCGCACAGCACTTCTGCTGGGGGATGGAGATTGCTTCTAGCAAACATAAACCCACTTGCCTTAGGGCAGGAACAGAACTGACGTGAAAGACAGGCTTAGGCTGCGGAGTATGTGCTGGCAGCTCTGCCTTGTTCCCCGGCTGCAATGGGGAGATGCTGCCCAAAAGGGAATTGTATCAGGTTTCCTAGCTCCAGAACATGTAACAGCACGATTCAGACAACATGGAATGAATTACACTCAAATGAACATACAAAGTTTAAACAACATGACACAGCAGCTTTCACGAGGGACTGCTTGGCCGGGCCGTTAGTGTGGAGGAACACTCGCAGAAGCGCTCAGGGCAGCAGAGGGCCGTGCCCTGGTCTCTCTGACCAACATCCCTCTCCCCGCCCCCAGAATGCTCCTGCGTGCCTTTACTGCTCTGAAACAGGGTAAATAGGCTACTAGACCTGAGTGAGCGGCAAGAACTTCTGGTAGTAGCTCTTCGTGACATCAATCATGAGTTCCTGGGTACATTCCGGGAGCTCCCCAGAGAAGAGTCCTGGAAGAAGAGCAAGGATATGACCATTCTTGCAGGAGAAAGCAGAAATAAGCTCGTATTCAACAGTCAAAGCATGACTCTGAGCTGTGTAAATACTAACAGAACAGCAACGGGCAATGCGGGGGGGATCACTGCGGTCACACCCCCGGGACAGACGTCAGCCAGGCCGCTGCGGCTGCGTCCCGCAACAGCTCCTGCTGTTCCCGTAAAAACCATCAGGAGAGAAACCACAGAGTCTGCAGTTTGTGTGGCGAGATCTCCGGCACGGCCAGGTCCATCAGCAGGAACTAAACACTCACATACCACAGTTTAACAGACCTACTTCCCTATTAACGTACCAGTGACGAGCAAACGGACCTCCTACAGAACCACCGAAATACCTGCAAAACCAGAAGCCATGGGAGGAGAAGGAGGAGGAGGACAGGGGGGAAGGAGCAACTGCCTCTGCCAGAGCCTGGTGCCCGTTGGGTTCCAGCTCCCGAAAAGCTGTGGAACTTGCTGTACAGGATGGGCACAGCTGGCATCCCAGTAATGCTGTTCTGAGTAAACGTGTACCACTGACCTACTGTACACTGAAGCAGCGAGTTTCACACGTTAAAACGGCTACTTCTCACCTCCCCGAGTGCCCTGTACCTTCATTTCTAGGCACTAAATGCTAACAGGCAAATGAGATTGTCACAGCAATCTCATTTTAAATGAGGAATACCCACGTGATCCACACTCTGTGCCAGTAAAGTTAGAGGGAGCATACCTGGGCAGCCTGAGAAGACTGTGAAGGGTGGGACTACTGTTTCAGGAGGTAGTACTGTGTTGTCTAAGATTTTGCAGCAGTCTTTCAGAACGCATCTACGACCCTAAAACAGAGATTAGGTAAGGCTTAGACTTATGGTTGTTACCAATAAGTTACCTGCTTAACTGCTAAAAACCACCTTCTGTATAAGGGACCACAGGAATAAATCCTTACCCTGACTGAACACTCTTCCCAACAGAATTAACTTTCTTTTTTTGAGGAAAAATGTCTGTTTGCTCTCAACTAACACATGTACAGGCAACTGCATATTAACACATGTCAGGGTGCAAATCGGAGGCTAAAATCCGAGTCACGCAGCAATGAAGCAAGGCCTTCCCTAACTCAGCAGATGGCAATCTTGACTATTTTGTATTATTTGCACAGAAACACAATTGCACTTGTACTTCATGGAAAGACTGCCTTCCCCCGACAGTCCCGTTAGCCACAGGGATGGGTTTTCCAAACAGCAGTCAGCTGAACCCGCTACCCTCAGGAAAACAAGACTGAAAGCACCATTTTCTGTGGAGAAAGAACAGGAGGAGGAAGGAACAGCATGGAGTAATTATACTTGCTCCAGCCAGCTGGTGCAGACACCTCTCTGCTCTTGTTACAAAGCCTCAACAGTACTCAAGGGTTTAAACTGAGAAAGGGCACTCACAATGACACAGTTCTTGCCTATGTGCACATAGGAGCCAATCTGGGCTGCGTTGACAACACAGTCCTCTTCTATGAAGACGTGATCACCGATGTGGAGAGGGAAAAAGGCCACCCTGTGACAGGAGAGTTATTTGTTGAGGAGCACAGCAGAGCATTAGACCCAAAATCACCCCGGTGAGTGTCCCGTCTCCAGCTGATTACCAGAGGTAGATCTGATGCTAAGGAAGACAGAACAGTAACCGGTCGTTCTCATCTCTTTCTAAAGGGTGGCACAAATTAGCAACAGGAAGACAAGTGAACAGAGAGCAAGTGAAACACGTTCTTCACTTTGCTGTTTTAATCTATCCCAGTCTTTCCACATTATGGTCTGAGGGAATGCTGACCCTCAAGGCAAAGCTGAAAGTTTGGGGAAAGGGCAGGTTTAGAGGGACATATTTCTGCAAATTGCTGCAAAAAGAACACAGCCCTCTGAATACAGATCTCAGATGAGCTGATAACATTTTATTTTAGCCATACAGATCTTAACTTCAGCCTCCCTAAAGGAAGGGGACCTCTTACCCTTTACTAAACTTCTTGAAGGGCGGTCTAATGACACTGCGGCTTTTCACCACGCAGTGTCGTCCAACCCGTACGTTTGCCAGGTCACCACGAATGATACAGTCGTTCATAACTATTGTCTGGGGAAGGAAAGAGAGATGAATGAGCTCCAATTTCTATCCGTGTTACCAGTTATTACACAGACTCACGCAGAGGTCGGCTCACTCCAGCACGATTACGGTGCCTCAGAGACGATTCTTTTAGTCAAAAGTGAGAACAAAGCAAACCCACAGGTGCCTGCAACCACCAGTTGTGCTCCCACCGTGCCAGCGAGCTGCGCAAAGCGAGCCGATACCCAAAGCGAGGCTTAAGCACAAACAGAAATGCGCCGTACTTCCGCGCGTGAAAGCGCCACGATCTGTCCACACGCCGGGGAAGCTCCGTTGGTGTTCTCAGGGAGCAGAGCTCCGGTACCAGGGGCCCGACAGCGGCCCCCGCGCCTCGGCCGCGCTCCCCTCCCCTCCCCCCGGGGACACCGCAGCCCGCCTCCCCGCTGCCTACCTTGCCGTTGAGAACGATGTTCTGGCTGCCGCACAGCACGGACTGCCGGCTCACCTTATTGCCGGACGCCTGAGGGGAGAAGGGCCGGGTCAGTGCGGCCGCTCGGAGCCCG